TGCGATTAGTCCCTATTAAATAATAATTGGGATCCAACTCGAATGCGCCGAATAATTTCATCGCACGAATGAAGCATTGACGCAACGCGAAAGATGAAAGTTACGAATTTAAGAGGAAACAATGATCGAAATAATTTTAATGTTTATATGGTTTGAATATAAAAATAAAAACATGGTACCTATCTTTAATCAATCATAATGAGTTTAAGTTATCAAAAAAAAAGTTATAATAACACAATTAGGTACTTATTTTGTTTTTATACTCATTAAAGTTATAGCATTCAGCAATTGCATTGATAAATAATTCAACATTTAATATACCTAGGTAATACCACAAAATTACATGCAAAGGGTACTCATATAAACGCATAACAATTAATTATTAATTATTTTATATTATAATAACGTTTCGTCGGTTTTTGTTACTTTGTATGTATTTTCAAATGCGGATTTAAAAATAAAAAAAACAATATTAATTTTATACCGTCTAAAATGTGTTTAATATATTGGTATAACACTACCAACAGTATGATTAATTATACCATATATTAATACACACCCTAACCAGCAAAGTTTAATACTTCTATCATAAGACAACGGACCCACATATAAATTATAGGTAATTATAATAATATGCCGTAATTGGTATATTTAGCAACACTGATGAATGATTATATGGGTATACAGGACATAAAGGAATCGTGCATAGGACATCCTTCCCGACTAAGTTTCTGTACAGAAATTCATAATTGATAAATTATAAGCTTTCGTCGTAATATATTATATTAAACGATATAAATAAGAATCAGAGCACCTATAACAATTCAAAATTGCCGCCAATAGTATATATCAATGGTTTGTACCTACGGACATTAATACCACTCTTCGAGATTGCGTCGGCTGCACACACAGATATCTCTATATAGTACTAGAAAGCGAACTCCCACCGTGAATTGAAGCATCAAAGTCGTTGGGCAATTGCATTTTATTTCATATTATGACAAATAAGATTAATTATGATTTATTTTGTATTGCATTTTATTATTTCTAAACCTGTAGTTAAAAAAAAAAAAAATTATATAAGTAATCTTACATTTACTATTTTATTTTACCATTAAAAGGATCCTATTCCTAACACATTATTTTCGATTGATAAAATTCGAAGTTTGGTACGACGTATTCATCAGTATTATTTAGTTATGACCTAAGGGATACTTATGTAAATTTAGTGAAGTGTGAAGTGTTGAGGAAAACGATTATTGACGAGTTGAATAAATTTCGGGGTCAGTGCGGTTACTCAATTACGATTCAATAAGCGTGCCACCTGTTAATATTGTATATTATAATAAATAATTTATGTTTGTATAATTGTTGTATTATAGATTTAAACCATTATCGGATAAAAATAATATATATGTATATATTTGATTATTAAAAATATAATTTAATAGTTACCGATTTATACCTATGTATTAGTTATTATAAATGTCAAAAAGAGAGTCATGGGGAATTATCCTTCTCATCCCCATTCTGTTTGACTATGCTGGAGTACAATGTATTAATTTAATGCAAATTCATATTTTGTAGAAAAAACATGATAATATGTAGCTTTGTTAGTACTTAAGTATAATAAGTACCTAATACTTTTACTCTGTATATCAGGGACGTGCCCAAGGGGGGCTCGGGACTGGACCCCCCATTTATTGTCAGAATTATAATTCCCAAGGCGCAAACAATTGACTGTATACTTTTTACATGTTAAAAAAGTTTGGACCACTCTTTGAAAAATTCCTGTGTATAAATAGCGAGGTTCAAAATGATTCATCTGATATAAAAAAAAAAATTGTAATGCTTATATATTTTAGTTTTTTTCGTTTAGAGTAATGTACTATTGTGTGATACATTAAACAAATTAATCTTTATAAGTAATAATAATTTAGTAAATTATTGAAGTATATACCATACTTACCCAATTCCTTGGGTACAGCATGTTTATTACAAAAAAATAAAATTAAAAAGAATGGAATAAAATCTGGATTTTAAATAAAATGTACCTATTGAGATTATACAGAATCAAGTAGGTACTTAGAACTTGTATAAAAACAACATCTGCCCATTGCGACAGACAGAAAATCACCACTTTTAATTTCCTTGTATTATATAAATATATTTCAAATAGGTTTTATTATTGAATCAATATTATAATCTAATATCGTTGTAGTATTGTAAAAATAATTAATAATATAAGTTGAGTTGTTGTGGGCTTGTGGTGTTGAGCACAGTGCACTTGCACCGAATTCGTTTTTATCGACCAAACTGACCTCCAACTCCAAGTGCAAACAGATGCTCGAAAGTGACGTTAGTCGTTGACGTACATAGATAGGACTATAATATTGTAAACTATAATAACTAGTAATTAGGTACTTTTAGGAATATAGGAATACTTAATAACATCTAGGTATATGTATCATTGTAGGAATATTTTTTTATTTGGGTAGTTGGTTGAAGTGATGCAATCAACTGCAGTGGTGTTGGTAGTATAGAAGTCTGTGTGGCCGTATAGGTTCAGAGGTTGTAATTATATTTTTATATATATACCCTGTGTCCGAGAAAACCGGGTATACTATATAATTAAATTACCGATATTACTTAGTACTATAGTCCATACATATTTTTGAATTCTGTTTGCAAAACATGAATCTAGACTGTTGGACCATCAATCTCCCACTGACAAAAATCTAATATATGTATAGCGTATTGAGTAATGTAGGTAGGTGACTGAGTTATACAGTGTACCTAGTATTATTGACACACATTACATATATAACTACCTATATTTATTATTTAATTAATCGGATTAAATCACCAGGTCATATGATTATGTCAGAAGTAAAAATTATTATTAAAACCAAATGAATTGTAATAATAATTAATTTTAAATAATAAATCTTAATAATATAATACATTCAACAAGTTTTCAAATAAACTAAAAAAAATTTATTTAAAATTATCGCTATACAGATTTTAACTTAAGATAAATTATACATTGGGTTCAAAGTTTCAAACAATTAGAACATTAATACCTATTGGTAAAATGTATAATATATATTTCACTAATAGAAAGGAACATCGTGTATTGTAATAAGTAATAACACTCCAAGAAAATATAAACACAATTTTATAAACAAAATTTAAATTAAACTAATTTATAACTTTAAGAACAAAAACATATATTTTTTTAATTTAATCAAAACAGAGAAAAAATATCCATTATATTAGAATTGATCGAATAAAATATAGTTGGTAAATATTTATAAAATATTAACTGAATTCCAATTGCACATTAAAAATCATGTTTTATATTTAGAATTCGAAAGTAAATCACACAAAAAGACATATTTTATAAAACTATAATATTAGGAAGAGTAAAATACAATGAATAATGATATAATAATATAACATAAGTAGTGTACCAATAATATATTACATTGGTAAATTAATTAACTTGAAATAATAATGAAATGAATAAGTTCATTTGAATACATCAATTTAGTTTATTTTTTATTGCCCTGAAAAATTATTTTTATATTTTGTGTACAGTTGTCAGGAAATTTGTAAAATTTGTTTTTGAGTGGCATGTCTTCGAAGTTAATACTCACTCAATATCAAATTTAATGGATAATGGATCCTCCAATTTATACATTATGATAATACAATGAATTTCACAAAAAAAATAAATAAATAAAAAATGTCGAGGAAATAAAACATAAATTTAATAGAACAAGAGAAATAATAAAATTTACATTTAGATTATTTCAATATTCTGGTTCCATTTTACGATCTTCATAACTGTAAAATATTTATATATCTATTATTTTAATACATCTTTTTCTTATAAAAATACATTTTTTACAAGAGCATATTTTATCATTATGGTTTTAATATTCAAAATACTAAAATACTGTGGAGACACACATAAGCACCACGCACTATGGTTGTTCACCTAAACTGACATAAGGTATTGTCGACTAAATCGCGAACTGCTCGGTCACCATTTACCCAATAATGTCACCTACATATCTACTTAATATATAACAGAGCCTGAACACCAGACTGAATGTCCTCACAGACATCGGTTGCCCTAATCTTTTGTGCCCGTCGCCAAAATACCATATTTTATTCATCATCAAAAGTTAATTCAACTATAGACATTATGACAATATCAGTTGTTCAAGATTTTTATACTTGTCTTCAAACAAATTATTTAAAAATTCAAATAAAATCAAACATACTAGCTCAATAATAGTAATGCTTAATAACATATTAAATAATTATTTATATGCATACTTTTAATGTTAACATTACCTGAATAAAGTTTTCAGATCTCCACATACTAAAGCCAATAATATAGGAGTAATTAAACATGCAGGTACCGAGTATAATAAAGCTGAATGATCTGATTTATATACGTGCATGACAAATGCAGCGGTAAGTAATCCCAAAAAATAGGCCAAAAATGTCGCAATGAAATATGTATTTGTCTTACGATTTAATCTATAAAATAAAAAATTTTATTAAAATGTACTCTCTTTAATTTATTAATCTAATTTAATAAAAGTATATACCTATGATCGAATCTTAACATAAATGCAATAAATATTCCTGGGATAACAATATCGTCTAAGTACAACACAGCAAAGTTTTTAGCATCCAAAATACCATTTTCCATTAAATCCTGAGGGAATACAACTGCAATAAAGTATAAATAAATTAGAATGAAATTAAGTGTATCATTATGTATGTGTAAAAATTAGAATAATTCATGTAAGAAATGACGTATTAAAAGTTTTAAAACTAACTTTTGATAGGACCATTCAAAGATTCGGCCACAGTAACCATAACGTTGCTATCAAACTCCCAAAATATATCATAGACAAATAGACTACATAAGAGGATACATCCAACTTTAATGGTGTTGAAGTGTAAGAATTCCATTCCATTTATGCAAATGCCAATCCAAATATATTGTTTACAATCCAATGCTAAAATTAAAAAAGTATATTTAAATAGATATGTTAACACTAGGACATAACCAGAGATAAAATAATACCTTGCTTATTATATAAAACGTTCCTAATGTTGCACACGATACAAAAAATAACACATCATGTAGTGTAAATTTTACATTTATCCAATCATGTTTTTTTTCACCAGTGCCTTCCGTAATCCGCAGTTGGTATTTCGTTTTAGGTATACTTTTTGGTAACATGGCGTAGAATTTAGTACTAAGTAAAAAAAAAAAAGTATATTGTAGCAATAGTTTGTAATTTAAATATCTTATAAATAATGTAATAGATCTTTACCCTAAAATATCACTTATAGCTGCCACTCCAAGTACATAAAAATTGACAGTCACAAATAGATTTATGTGTTCCTTAGAAAATGCCTATATTTAAAATAAAGAAGATAGATATACTTTCAATATAAATAATGCATAAACGAATTAACATAATATTATTATCTGTAAGACTATAATATGTTACATACACTAATAATGATGTAGAGCATAATGATATTTCCACTAGAAATCACTGGAAACATCATAGCATCTTTTTCTGTCATGGACTCTGCCGTGGACTCTGGTATTCCTTTTTTCATCTGGAATAGGAATCAAGATATTAGCATAATGGCTATTTAAAAATAAGTTAATTGAAATACCAACTTTATTTTTAATGTGTAGTTCTACTGATCGGAACGAGGCAAAGAATATGGGCACTAAGCACATGACCGCTAAACTGATGTTTGCAATCAGCATACCTTCGGTGGTGGCCGGTATTATTTTTATTACAGACTCCGTGTCAGCACCATTTGTTCCGTTTAAGGTTTTAATTATGTCATCTACGACTTCGGCCATCGTTGAAAAAATTGAATTAAATAATAAAAATAATAACGAAGAAAACTCGCACTGATTTATTAAATATTATTATTAATAGGTAGTAAATCGAGAAGACGTGAAGTAACAAATATTTAGATTTGGAATATAGGTAGTGAAAGTGAAACGTAATCACAAGTCAGAAACTTACAACACATACCGGAATAGTGAATACTCCAATATTGAATAAATTATAAATGGCTACTGGATAATATAAAAAGGTGACACACAGGTAGCGATAATGACGTAAAAGTGCTCGCCGACCATCGAGATGTATAATATTATACTGTGCAATATTTTATATTATTCTTTCAATGTCTAGGGAAAATGTGCGACGATACAGGAAAACGATATAAAATAATATATTGTACGATCACAGTTTAGGCGCGAACAAACGAAAAATGACAAAGAACACGACGCTCCGACGCCGCGAAAAAGAAGCAATAAAATATAGGGGGCCAGTGTGGCCACCACACCTTATCGTATAATTTTCTCTCGAACGTCGTAACCACAATCAAAGATAATAATATATAGGTTGCCCATCGGCGTCTGATAAGGCGTGAATGAAATGACTATCAAAAATCAACAAGTAGCCCTCAAAGTGGTAGTATTACAATGATTAACCGATTATAGATAATATATAGGTGTAAAATTAGTTCTGAATGTCGACACATATGGTTGAGGGTTGACATCAAGCGCTAGAAGTTCATTATTGACAGGTGTTTTATATGGTCACTTTGTAAATCTATCTGAAAGCCGTTTATTATAAGGAGATGTGCAACATGTATATCTTTAATCGTGGTCGTAAGTCTTAACGTCCATGACAAAATGTATAGGTATGCCAGCGACAATACAAGACGTACCTAGTCCGGTTAAATTACCCGTCGGCAAACACGAAGCGCATCAACAAGTTCCTTACATAATATACCTATTTATTTTGTCGTGATATGTATTTTGGCATGTATAGGTACCGTAATCTTCTGGTCGTATTCTGTTGGAAACTCGGAAGTTTGACGTTAAATTCGAAATTATCGCAAGTGGCAGTGCTCGAATTGATTGGGGGGGACGCAGGTGACGGAGCTTCTCTTCTAATTGTTTATGTTTTGAGCGTACCCCTTCTAATTATTTTTTTTAGAACAGGGTGACGGAAAGTTTTATTTCGTGTCTCCGTAAAGTTGCACCTATTTAATGAGGTATTAAAATTAAATGTATGGTTTTTTTTTTATGATAATTGGTAATAAGTAGTGTTTGAAGTATGAGAAATATTTCACTAAGTTGTGAAATATTTCACAAAAACGTGAAACATTGAAATTTTTTTTAACACAATAAAAACACAATTTATTTATTTTTTTAACACAATGTTCAGTGTTCTAAATTCTAATGTCAGAATTCAGTAAGTATACAATATACATGTATAATATTGTATACCTACTTGTATCATTTAAACATTAAAATATTTAAAAATTTTTAATACCAATTTAAATGTATAATACCAAAGGTTAGGTATACATACAGGTACCATATAGTGATGAAGGTAATTTATGACAATTATATGTAAATATAAAACTTATTTAAAAATAAAACAAAATATATTAAAATACTGAAATATTTCACGAAATATTTCATTTTTTTAAATTTCATGAAATTTTCAAACACTAGTAATAAGTAATGATTAATTGAAAAAAAGACGTGGACGTCATAGTGTCTGTCTCATCGTAATTGCCTATCTTGTAGTGAGCTGTGACTATACCTATCTAAATACCTGTACCTATAAGTATAAGCGTTCGTCAGACGAGCAACCAGCTACCATCAGAACAGTCACTAAAGCTAATAGTCACAACTCGCTAAACTAAACAGTTAATTAACTTATTGGACTTAGAATATTTTAACATAATTATTTTATTTGAGTAATAATAAATACAAAGTATACTATCATCTTCATAATTTATTTCAAACATCTTCATCATTTCAACTAGAACGCGTTGAGCACGTTACAATCTTATACGTGTAAAAGTTTCTCGCTTTACACAACGATTTACCAACCTGAAAATTTAATTTACGTCTATATGTGTGGTAATATGTGTTTAAGACAATACAAGTATCAGAATTTCAATACAACGTTTAGTTTTTTAAATATTAAAAATCTTACAAGAGATATTTTTTAGTTTTTATTTTATATTTAAATCGGTGGAGACTCATTTGCGCACATATTAATATATTTTTTAAATTTACGACAACTCATTTGCGCACAAAATAGTAAACAATGAAACCCAGCTTTTAGGTACAGTTTTGGGTGTACAGGGTGTCTTAAACTGTTCAACACGTTACACGTTCAATATTATTGATATCAATGATCATCCGTTATTGGAGTATCTTCAATATAGCCTTATAATATAGTCTTAAAGCATAACTTGATATCACATCAGTTCTTATCTATCAAAAATGGCATTAATACTCGCCAAGTACACTGTCTAGTCGTGTGGGACAAGCTTTAATCTTTGTTATTGATATTATTGCTATATCTTACCCTATTTTTGTTAAACGTTTCCGGTGATAACTGATAAACCTTATAACAAATCTCTTCTATACATTTTAGTTTAGTCTCCGGTCGCGATTTGCGGTGTAATAACAATGGACGCTATTTGTTTAACACAGAGAGATTCTGTTATTTTATTTACTTGTAAGAATAATTTGGAAGTGCTTTGTGATAATGAACACGTATTTGGTGACGGAACTTTTACGTATGCACCAAAACACTTCATGCAATTGTATACAATTCATGTTTACACAAATTATTATTATTTACCTTTAGTATATTGTTTTTTGAAAAATAAACAAGTATCAACATATGTGTCCATGTGGAAAACCATAATGAACTTGTCAATGCAATTAATAGAAAAAAACTTAAATGTAAAAATATTTCATGCAGATTTCGAAAAAGCTGCACATATTGCAGTTTTTCAGAGTTTTCCACAGTGTAAAATAATATGTTGTACATTCCATTTAGGACAAAGTTGGTTCAGGCGTTTGAAAAAAAATAAAACATTACTAAAAGAATACTCAAAAAATGATTCGGAAGGTGGCTTAAATATTTTTTGGTTTACCTTATCTAAACTCTGATGAAGTTCCGGACGCATTTACGGAGCTAATCTCAATAGCTCCTAGTAATATAAGTATGGATTTTCCGGACTATATTTTAAAAAATTATATTGATTTTGATGCTGATTTTGGGCCAGAATTATGGACTAGTGCACCAGACGATAGCCCTAAAACAACAAACGGAGCTGAAAACTTTCATATGCACTTTAATAGCCAATTTTATACCCCCAACCTCATATTCACCACATCATACAAATACTCATGGAAATTCAAGTCAACACCGATTTAAAAATAAACTCATTAAAAAAAAAATAAAGAAAACACACGTAGGACAGAAATATTAAAAAACCAAAATTTTTTGAAAAAAATACATTCAGATTACAAATCTAAAAAAAATGATCTTATAACCTATTTGATGCAAAAGCGTACCAATAAATATTAAATATTATGTATTAACTGTAATTTATGTAGATTGTAAATTTTAATGACTTTTGTAAAAACTAATAACGATTGTACCTAATTTATTGTAATTTGTAAATTTTAATGACTTGTAAAAATGATTGTACCTAATTTATTGTAATTTGGCAAAATTTTAATGACTTGTAAAAATGATTGTACCTAATTTATTGTAATTTGACAAAATTTTGAATAATGTGTAATAGCTAAAACAACATTTTTAAACCCGCCAGTCTATAACATCAGAATATGATGAGACAGAAAGTCCTTAGCCTTTTAAAGGGCGAAGGAAAATGTTATTTGAGTATAATAATTGTCCACTATCAGTATTGACCAAATCGAAAATATGGTGGTACGGAGATTATGTACACCCTATACGTGGATAAAATTCTTGGAAAAAAAATTTCTATTGTTCGTAAATTGTGCGCAAATTAGTTATGTTTTTGTGCGCAAATGAGTTGTAAAAAAAGGTAAATATGCGCAAATGAGTTGTAGCCATTTAAATCACCATAACTTGTCGTTTAACAAAAATATCAAGATTTTACTTTTACTAAGACTGACTGTACCAGTTTTTGCTTTTCATCCAGTTTTAGCATTCAATAAATTTACATAAGTATTACTTCTTGTCAATATCAATTCTATTCTTGAATTTAATAATATTTTTTTTAAATCTTCGAAAATTCCTAACCAATATTTCAACGGTAAATTCACGTTTTTCATTTGTAGTATTTGAACTATTTTTAAAGGTGCAACCAGAATTTTCATAACAATAATAATTATCCGGAATGCCTGATAAATAGTTTTTCATTGAACTAGTAATACCTAAAACACGAGAACTATCCATTTCTACACCATTAATTTCTAATCGTACTTGATCAAAAAGAAACTATAAACCGTTATTACATAGCTCTACTTTTGTGGGGTCTATTATTTTTCCTTCGAGAAGTATAAAGCTTTCGTGTAAATACGGATACCCGTCTGTTTGTTGAACTGATATACGTACTTCATCACTGTTATTGAACGAGTTTGAATATGCGACGTATGAGTGATATATTATTTTACTTATTTTCAAGTATGTTGAATAATGTGAGTCAATGTCTAAAATGTCGCTTTCAGGCATGTTTTTTTTTTTTAGTTTAAATCCTAAATCTTTCAACATTTTTTTACTTTGTGACGTTAATTTACGATATTTTATTTTTTTCAGATACCGATAGCTTTGAAGTAGATTTATTACTAATCGATTTAACTGGTTGAAGTGGTCTTTTGTTAACAAACTTTAAACCCATTTCACGTTGCACATCGCTTTATATGTAAAACAACTGTTAATTTTTCTTCAAAATTGTCAATTGGCCTATTTTCTTGATCGACTAAATTAGTGAATTAATTATGGCTGTTTTCAGTCCGTAATATATCAAGTTTGTTGGCGA